AGCCCCTACTATAAAAAATCACGAAAAATTTTGAAACTGTGACGATGTGCTAAAAGTCAAGGCCTGCAAGGCTACCAACTGACGAAATATCGCATTAAGCAACGGTCAAACTGTCATAGAATTCAGATGCCGTGACTTGCTGCATATATTTATATCAAATCGAATGCATCTTCCCTTATCGTTGAAGCCGAGTATTTTAGCCTTACATAAGCCTTTCTAATAATATTTAAATGGCAGAACTGAGTTGAATAGGCAGTGAGCTATATACTTCTTTTCATTCCTTGACAATGAGCTCGCGGGATGGTTCGAAACGTTAGACAACTAAATCACTGGTTCCAGAGAACGTTTTACCTGCTTCTATTCAGTTACCTGGGTCTCGCATGTCCTCGAATATTCAGAATAATATTTCTTAAAGCTCCCGAACCTGGAAGTATTTCTTATGGACAGTAGCTTTGCGATTATGGATGCGTGTCCAATGACTCTATTTTCAGTATCAAAATGTGAGGATCGATTTTTGCTGCGATTACTTTTGCGGCATGAACCATACTGCAGTTAGCCAAATCTTCAGCTACGCTGTGAAATAACTCGGATATATGTGCCTACTCACTTATACAAAGTACGCATACACCTTTAACTATAGTTGACTGTTTCCCTAATCGGATGAAGTTGACGTTATAGTGCTCGGTCTCACATTCCTTTGTTGTCTAGACTTGAAAATATGATTGAATGCTCGCGTGAGGTGGTGCTAATCGATCCAGGAGTTCAAAATGTAATAGTGCCGTTTCCCATGGTCCTGAAAGTCTGCCACGCTGAGGAAGGTAAAAAATTAATGGGAATGTTACACACAGTGATAAGTGAGGAAAGGCTTGCTTGTGCTTACTTCATAATTACCAGCTAGTTATATCCATCCACGTTTTAGAGGACCGACGACTTGAAAAGGATTATGCAGGCTCGCATACGTATTCTCTAACATCGATTTGATGCAACGTCTGATCATAAACTGCTTAAGTATCACAAGGTATCTATTTGGAAGAGTTTGTTGCGGAGGGAGTATCGCAGGGGGTTAAGTAAGTTAAATCCTGGCAACTGCGATCTTCAGACCATGGTTACTTAGTAGAGGAGAAGTCAGTGGAGGCCAGAATAGTAGGAACAGTTTATTGTGTACGCAAAGGAGCGAATAATAGATGAAAAGAGTTTTGACGTCGGAGCACACGTCATTCCGCTGGAGCGCCGTGTTCCTAAGTGATGTCTGGCGGCCGAGGGTGGGAAAACGGGACATGTTCGAGTGGTGCTTGGGCAGCCGCGAGAACCTAGACGCACGTGT